TTATTGCTGCTTCGTTCGTGTATTTTATACCTATTTTGTAGATTATCAGCTGGATATGTTCAAAAGACCTAAAAGTAAATTTTTACTGTTACATTTTGATTATTGTTTTAAGATTTTAAAAAAGCGGATTTTGTAAGGGGTGGGGCATCTCAAAAGTTGCCAAATTTTAATATTAGACACTATGGATATTTGTTGAAAAAGCACCGAATTATCTTTTTTGTCCCATATTTCTTGTAATGCTGATTCAAGTAGCTTAAAGGTATCGCAAAATATCACCAAATTGTAAATTTTTCAAAAGGGTTTGTTTAGGAATTAATTACAAAGATTATTTATTTTCATTCGGTGTTGTATTTTTTTTTTTAGTAACCAAGTTATGTATATCAAAAACTACTTAAACTTAAAGATTAAAGAGTTCATTCTTTTAATAGACAATTTCACAATTACGATCATAAACTAACTGATCGAATTATTTAAGAGCGGTCTTCATGTAGGCTTATGACGTCATATTTTATCCTATGCATGATGCAATATTATCATTAGAATACTAGTATATTAAAATAGTTCTTTCACTTGCAGCACACTTACTTTTTTGTAATCCAGTTTGTTAAAATCAATCAACCACGTTCTGATTGAATGTATGAAATTTACTGATAAGTGTTTTTTTCTCAAGCCTTAGAGGGGCTTGAGTTATCTAAACAATGCTAGTTTATCGATTTACTCTGTTGAAAAACAGAATATCTTACTTTTCTATATAAAAATATATCTAGAAACAAAAATGAAGCTTATCTTGAAAACGTCTGTATATTAAAAGGTATTAAGTGTTAAATGTCGAATATTCTATGGCAATGGGTGAAGCTCCCCAGACACAACGGTTTCTATACAGAGATGTCGCGCTTTCCTTTGCGTAGGAATCTCATGTAACTTTACAGTCGCCGACAAAGCATCTTTGGACGAGTCCAATGGTTACTCTAATAGATGACGCAGGTTACCCCATCGTTTACAAATTCTGCAATGCATGGCCAGAAAATGTATGGCTCTGCGTTCCAAACTGATATTGCTTCTCAAGGGCCTGCAAATGTTTCATTTGCCCCCTACTTTTTTTTTATTTTTCAAATATAGTATTATCTTAAGCTTTGGTAACGGCACCTTAACAACTTCTTTTGGAATCGTACAGAATATGTATTGGACATGCGGCATAGCTAATTGAACCCGTAGTCACGTCGATTCTTTGGAGCCCGGAGCTCTCGCCCCCTTCCACATCGAACCACCAATGTTTTGATGTACATCATTAAGCAAAAAATACAAAATCGTATATAGTTAACGTATAAACAATGTATGTACTTAAAGTGTTTCATTAAATTAAGAAAACACAACTATGCTCTATAAAATAATCCTGAAAGTGTGTGACATAAATTCATCTTAAAAAGTAGTACGATTAGTTATATTTATTCTAATTAAATTCAATATAATTATGAATTTTGTTTCATGTACATGTATTTTATTTTTTAAAAAATTGAACTTAGTTAATAAAAATTTTTAATTTTGATATATAATCCTTACAAGGTGGAAATATAGTGGAAGAAATTCACGCAGAACATTGAATATATTCATTTGTGGTATCTTTCAATTACATGCATATAAAGATACAGAGAACAAAAATCTTCAATTCTGTATGAAGTTTGTCTGAGGTCAGAGGTCAATACGTGATCTAATCACACGGTGCAATGATCTCTACGGGTTAATAAATTATAAAATGACTTGTTCGTCTTGCTTTTCATGTATAAATATGAACAAAATAAGCAAGTAAAATAATTAATTATTTTATTAACAATGTAGATGAGTATTTAATACAGTTTTTTGGCTATAAATTTAACCTGTGTACATAAAAAATATAGCCTACACATGAAACTAGTGTTTGTTTAGGCCTACAAGTTTTATGTCAGTTTTTTCAGGCTGCTGCAGTCTCTCCTTATATTTTGCGTTTATCCTTATATTTTTGGTAGATCTTTAGTTAAAATTCAAAAATGTGCACTTCGGTGTTGTCGTAACAATAAGCTGTCGCCAGTCTCCGTGTCTTCATCATAAATATGCCTTTATTTATTGAAATTGTATATTGAATGTATTTGATCAAATTCAGTTGATTGCATATTAACTTGCTCGGTCAAGTGGTTCCATCAATCGGATCCATCCATCCCTTTCCAGCGACCGAAATATTCATCAAACTTTTTATCACCGATCTTCGGAAGTGTTTCTTTCGTCTTTTCAGCATTGATTATCAATTTTCACGATTAAATTTATTCCCAGACAACAATTTGTTCATTATTACTAAACACATTTAGCCTTTCAAAAAATATTCCCTTAGAAATAAAATCCTGAGCCTGATGAGTTTGAAGCGTAACCGCCATTCAAGCCGATTTACACCTTGCGTCAGTTTTCACAATCTACGACGGACGGTAATTACAATAATTTATATTCGAAAATATTCAATTGTCTTTCTCAAATGTATATATAAGTAATAAATAACTTCGGCCTTCACAGGATTTGATCACGTGACCGATCCACTTCAATTCCCATTGAAGTTTATAAACTTGTTATTTATTTCTTAATTAAATTTGTTACTTAACATTTTGAATTCTATATTAAGAATTAAGTTTTCAGTATTTTGCAATTCGGGGTATATAGTCTGGGACTAGTGGAAAGTTAAACAAGTTCACATATCATTTTTTCGGATCTTTTTCCATTGCTGAGATAAATGTCTATCTTTTGAAAGCATATTTTTAAGACTGAGCCAATTTAGTGCGGAGTATAGAGCTACCCTAAATTAGAGAAAACTGCAGGCGTCTTTCATTAGCTATAGATCGTTACCTTAAGGACAAATCCAAGATTATAATCTCTTGTATTGAAATTACGCAACTTATTTTGATAACCTGCGTGACATGCAGCTATGGAAATATTCAGTTGCCAACTAAATGTATATCTTGATGAACTGTGTCTGAGTTAAAAATGTGTCAAAGATTGTGTAGTGTATAGAATTTGATATGTCTATTATGATATATGATTCAGTAACATTCTGTGTGGCAATTCCTTTTTTATTCTGCATAAGGGATATTAAAAACTTGCATTTAAATCACCGTGTTAACTTAAAAACAGTTGATGCATTTATTTAAAAGACCCATCATCTGATTAAAGGTAGTGTTCTTGCTCTCTACTGATACTACATGTAGTTATTTTTTTTTAAAACCTAATATATCGCTTATTCCTAATATTCACTTAAGATTTTAAACATATTGGATATGATAAAAGGGTGGCACCCAATTCTGTATCCACCTTTAATAAACGACTCTATCGAGACAGAGGATCTGGGTCCCCATGTTTATTTTGGGAAAGAATATTCTTTAAATCATTAAACCGAAATAAGGTTTGTTCAAATAAATAACTTCTTATGCTGCCTCACGTTTGCAAAATACTTTTGTACTTTTTACTATTATATTACCAGATTTCTTAAATATATATAGAAATAACATTGTATAACCCACTCTTAAGTGAATCTTATTTGTTTTTGGTTTTTTTACCTTATTTGACAGTCATGTGATAGATACATAATTTGTAAAAAAAAAAAAAAAAAAAATACCATGTGGGTCATACACCAAATTCAATATCGTAAGAGCATACCCTTGTTCCTTTAAAGAAAATTAAGTTGCTAGTTCCATATTCCTAGTACTTATAAAAAAGAGACGCTTCTTTAAATAGAATACACGTTGAATTAAGAAAAAATGCAGCTCAAGTTTACGTGTGTGTGATCTTTACAAAGTCTCTAATGCATTTATCAAATAATGCCTTCTACTTTGGGAAAGCAGCAGTACTTTTTAATTATATAAAATTGCAAATAGGCGATCTAGCCAGAAACTCCACTGATAAACATTCAAACGTTCTACATAAAAAATACAGAAGAATTGGTTCAGTACATTGTGCGTATAATAATTAAGGAATTGTACTAAACAAAGGTTTTTCACCTTTAAACCAGATTGCTGATACGTGTATTCTTGATTCATAAAGTTTTTTAACGTATTTTTCGATAACTAACCTTGTTTTAGAAACTGTTAATACGTAGAGCAGGCTCTTACATAACAAAAGCTCATAGATAACAATTGTAAAACACATTCTTAATTTTTTTTTTTCAACGGGAAATTTATTTTTTTTTCTATATTTGTGTTGAGTGCTCAACGTCAAAAAAGCGTTTTTTTAATAAGGAATATCACTTCACTTTATTTCGGTACTATATGACATCAATATGCAGAGTTGAATTAAATATTTGCATTCTGTCCATTTATCAATTTTTATTATACCGTTGCACTACAAGTATGTATGAAATTTGCAGCTAACGACCAGTTATCAAATTTAAAAATTAATTGAAATGATGCTTAGTATAAGCATCTAAATCATCATAGATGGGGTGTCCGGTACTATCGAGGAATAAACCCCTCCTTTCAAATAATTACATTCAATTTGACAGTGTAACTTTCTAGGATTCAGTAAATGGAAAGGGAAAAAAATTCAGTGTGTTAATTATGACACTATTATAAGTAAAAATATCATTAAGAGGTTTTTAATTATTCAAAATTCTGAATCTACTTTATTAAAATATTATACTGTAAATATCTTTATTGATATTTATGTGATAATATTGTTAAAAATATTATTCACACACTTCATGACGGAAAAAATGTACAAATCTTAAAAGAGGGATATACATTTTGATTTGAAATGATGCATGAAACAAAATAAAAAGAGACTTTGGAATAAGTATTTCTTAAACCATTTTTTTATATCTCCCAGAATTTAAAAAAAAATGTAATAAGATTTATAAAGAAAAATATATATACCGGTATTTTTTTTCCAAGATCTGAATTCAGATCTAATATGGGTAGTTTGTTAAATCAAAATTAATACAATATAAAAATCGATAAGAAAGATATATGAAAAAATGTATTCCATTGCAGAATATGGCCAGGCTTAAAAAATATGGATTGGTATATTTCACATTTTGACATCAAATTTAAAAAAAATATTGCTTCTATCTCTTCTTGTCGTTTTGCCTGGAAGGGGGCAATTCGCTTGCTTTTTGCTTAAAATATCCATGTAACCTTGCAAAAAAAGTGTATTTAATGTCTGGAAGAATGTTGATGCCGATAGGCGTTTTGTTTGTACATACATGTAGCTTCCTCAAATGATGGCAAATCAAATTACTTTTATAGAGAAACAATTTACGTGTAATTTTAAGTTCTACAGTAGAACATGACTTTAACCATTTAAGTAAAATGTAAACGATATTATTATTTTCAAGTTCTGCCGCGCAATAAAGATAAAAAAAATATTCAGGATTATATACCCTTATGCTTGTCGAACGTATGTTTCTTATTTTAGTTATTTTTTTTTTTCATTTCCATTTCTCAGATACAGGGCACAAAAGTATTACTTTCTAAAATTGTTATCATAGCAATCCAATTGTTTAAGAGAACCCGAGATGATTTTTAAACATGCAACAAAATGAATTAAATAAAATAAGATCTTGGTAGATAGGAAGACTCTTAATAACTATCTAATTCAATAAAATTGACTTTTTTGCAAATCCTTATAACCAAATATCAATGCAATAAAAAGTCTTTGCACATAGTATCGAGCTTTTACTTATAGCAATTTCCAAGCTGCAATATAATAATTCAGGCTTACTCAGATATATGTGTACATTTAGAATATTAATATGATTGTTTCTTTATCATATCTTAATTTGCATAATATCAAGCATACAGTCCCTGAAACGTTCTACTTTCCCACCTAAATGGTGAACGAACGCAGAGCGAACGGTAGGTGAACGATGTGCGAACGCTGAACGCAACTTGGTGAACGATGTGTGAACGGTGAACGGTGAGTGAACGCAGAACGCGAACAGAGCGCGAACGCGAGCACAAAGTGAACGTAGAACGAACGGTGAACGCAAGATGAACGATTTATTTGGAATGCCTCCGATCTTTTCCTTGCACTGAGATTATTCTATTATTCTATATTTCTAATTTCAGGTGCTTAAATATAAATAAACAATTGATAAATAAATAAATGCATAAATAAATAATAAAAACATTTTTTTTCTGTACATATATGTACCTATGTTTTAAATCGATATTTTTATAACACGATTTTAATTGCCGTAAAACATGTATATTTGCTATAGCTACCGATCGCGTGTAGATTAAATATAAAATTAATATATTTATATAGTAAATATTCTTATCCATTCTTTTGCTTCTTATCACTAATAAAATAACAAGGACTTCTGAAGATAAAACTACTACTTATAGAATGAATTAATTACATTGTACGCGATTGAAACAACCATACATGTATTTCGTGCCAAGGCGATTCTGAGTAAAATAACGGGATCGATCACAATTATCTGTTGACGTACTGCATAAAAACTCTCGTTTTATTTAATAGCCATTCTCTGTTACCACTTAAACTTCGTTGCCACGCATGGTCACCGATTTTGATTAAGCTTCACCCATACTTAGTACTTGACACCAGAAACAAATATCAAACAAAATTTCGTTGCTATGTGTCTCGGTTGCTATGGCAACAGCCGGAAAAGTTTGAAAAATCGAGATTTTCAGTCACATTAAATCTTGACTGTGGCTTAATAAAAGCTAGAAAAAGCAAACAAACCTTTCTCACAAAAACAAGACACCTTGATTTCACTTATACTGTAAAGAAACTGTTTAGAATATATCTCTAAGTAAGTGGTAACCTAGGGTAAATTTGGAATACATTTAAAATGCTGAAATATGCTGAGAAACACTCCGTATTCACTAATGGTAGGTGTTACATGCTCAAACTCAATCAACGACTTAAGAAAAACAATAAAAATGTTTGACCTTAAGTTTATAAGTATAAGCAATATTATTCAATAAATAACTTTTATGGTTGCCATGGTAACACAGTGTAACCATGCAAAACCAGTAACTAAGATTGGGTTAATGCTACTGTCTTGAGGAAAAACATGAAAATTCAAGACTGGCATATATGCATCCTTAGGACCTTGCAACACCAAAACCATAAGAAAAATTGGGTATAATTGCTACTTTGCAGTGTTACCATGGAAACAAAGTACCAGTGCTTTAAAGTGAATTATTTTTTGCTGCATTAAGAATTAAATTGCCATTTAATAAAGAAACAAATTAAAGGACTCAGCTTGAATAGAACTTATCTGTTAGAACTGAAGTTGAATATCATATATTGATAAAATTTGAGGAATAAAACAACACTGTTGCTATGGTTACCAAGAAGGGAAAATGTTCGATTTTGTGAACTTTATATCAATATTAAACCCTGTGTGCCAACTTCTTGCATCCACTTAGAGATTGGATGATAGTCAAAATTAAAAGTCAAGTTAGCTGTTAATAAATATCAATCATAAAAGTTTTGGGAATCTACATTTAAGGGTACGTATCCAAGGAAAAAAATATTTTTTCAGGTTTTTAAGCATATATTTTCTGCTTATTTCCATAGCAACGCTCTATTTAAAGAATCTAATCTGAATTTTTTCAAATGGGAAAACTTGGAGAACACCAACATCTTATAAAACTGATCATTAGTTATGAGGAAATATGCTTTTTTTTAAATATAGGATCAGATTTAAACAGACAGAGTGTTACTTTGAAGGCTCTCTTTGGTATAAAAACCTTGGCAACCATTGCCAACCAAAATGATATATCATATTTTGTTCTTGGTATACGTTTCAAGGCTCTTTTTTCTATTATTTGGTTACATTTAATCCTATAAATGCTTTTTATTTTTACGTGTATGACTTTATAAAATTCAATGAATTTTTTTTACTTTTGAATGCTTTGTTACCATAGTAACGTATGTAATAGTTGATTTACCAAACATGTTTATCATGCATTTGAGAGATCTGACCTTCAAATTTTGGAAATACTCATTGCCAATTGTCTGCTTTGCCGCAAATGTTAACTATGGGGCTCTAAACATGTTACGTAAAAATACAATTTTTCAAACTTTAAGACATGTTGCCATGGTAACTATAAAACATAGCAAACAATTTTTGCCTGATTTTAGTTTAGGGTATCAATGACTTTTATCATAGAGAGTTTGGAAAAATTCAGAGACTATGCGTGCCACAGCTCGTATATAAAATTTCAAATCATTACAGAGAATGGCTCTTAAATTCTAATGCAAAATATTCCATATTTATGTGCCTTTTGTATTCTTTTATGATGATTATTTTAGCTAACTTCTACATGTATCTGTAGACATTTCCCGGCTGTGATTATACTCGGACAATATGTTGGAAAGAGGCATTCAAATTATTTGTAATAGATTAAATTTTCAAAACTAAATAAGTAATGTGCTGTCATAGTTTTTATTATACAGAGAAATGTACGCGAGAGAGAGAGAGAGAAAGAGAGACACAGAGAGAGAGAGAAAGATAACACCCTCGATTCTCAGATATATGTTGTATCAAATAAAAATTCTATTATTTTTCCTAAATATTTTCTAAGCAGTAAAGGTAATCATTTTATAGATTAACAAATCCATTTGATCATTAGCTTTTATTTTCCATCATCAAGTTCACACAGTTCACATGAAGTCCGCGTGCTAGTAGCGTGTTTGTCCTGTGTCAATCAAAATCATTCGACACAGTGGAAGTGTGGAAATCGCGTGTTCACCGAACATACCGAAGGCAAAGAGTCACTTAGTATTTCCAAGAAGTTTTTATATTTTTCCCTATCATTTCGATATCTGATTTTTGCATTCCTGCAGAAAAAATAAATAAATTATGGGAATATATACTTGGAAGGATTAAGTTTTAAATTGAATTTGAAATATACTCCCTGCTAATTTAAAATACAATTGTACTACTGTCGGCACAAGTTTATTCTTAAATACTATTGTTTAATGACTGTTTGATGTTGGTTTTAAGACTAATTTTCTTGTGTTACAATACACATTTTAATTAAAATATACTGAAAAATACTCACTAAGAATTTAATTTCGGGAGAGAAGGCACCGGGGGAAGGGGTATCTTAATTATACTGAATGGCAAACATATATTTAAACATGTATGTTTAGGTACGGTGAAGGAAGGAATTTTCCTTCTCTAATAATAGACTATTTTAAACAGTTGGTCTTTTCTAAAATTTAAAATCACACTATCAATTTAATTAGCTCTAAAGATATTGAATTAAATGAATATTTGCAGTACTGTTCATAATTCTCAAACCTACGTGTAGTTTAAAATACGTGTTACTGTAGAAATATTTTTTTAATGTATTCTTGTCCTGTAAAAGACTTGGAGTGATTATTATGCATCTTCTTATAATTTGTCTTCTTTAAAATTACAACAATTTGATGCCGCGCGTGAAGCATTTGTACATTGCCCTTTTTTAAAGTAAATATTTTAGCATTGTTCTACATAAATGTAGGTACTAAATGTATTATAATTTCCAGAGAAATAAGAAGTAGCTGAGTTGTAAGAAATATACATGTAAATATCATAGATATTTTTTGCAATGAAATAATTATTCTTCAAACACGATATCTAAGTTATTTAATTAAAAAACGTAAAAATCCTTACCATCAAAAAGATAAGTCCTCTAAATTTCACTTTGGAGTTCCGAATGACAATGAAGACTGAACGATAAGTGAACGGTGAACGCAAAGTAAACGGAACGAAGAGCGAACGGTGAACGTTTTGTTACTGGTGAACGCGAGCACACGGTGAACGGTCAACGCACGCTGAACGAACGGTGAACGAACGGTGAGCGAACGGTGAGCGAACGGAAACATGGGAAAGTAGAACGTTTCAGGGACTGTATATATTTTTGTTACGCAACACAAACACATTTGCTTTTCCATTTAATAAAATCAGGCTTATTGATTTACTACATGTGTATTTTACTTTATAACTAGATTACCTTAGTTTTCCTCAATTTACATAATAATACGTAAATGTTAGATATTAAGTAGTTATCAATTACTTATGAAACTTAACAACTTTAAATTATCTGACGTAAGATGTCTAATTACCCAAAAGTTAATTTAAACGCTAATGCCATTGAACATGTTGAAGTAAACATATTTATTAATTGATTTTACACTCTTTTGTAGAATACCATTGTTATTATATTTAAAGTTTTGGAAAACATATGCTGCTTACAACTCCCTAACAACGCTTGTGAAGAATCGTTGGAGACTATATCATACGCCTCAAAATGTCCATCTGATTTCGAAGAATATCAGGTGGCGGCTTTAAAGAAAAACTGCAGCAAATACAGCAACAGCTGTAGATCCTTCGAATACCACTGTGTTCTAAACGATGATACGACTAAAATCATTGAAGTTTGTGCACCGTCTCGCTATATTCAATGTAAGTGTACGTAGGTACAGCATGGGCCTTTTGGTATGATTAAACTTGGATTGATAGATTTTTTTATTATGCTTACATTCACTAGGAAAACTTAGATGACACCCTTTGATAATATTTTTTTTTTGTATTTTCTCGGTAAATAAGCAAACTTTGAGCATATACAGCTTCGTTCAATTCTTATGATCATATGAATTTTTACACAGATCAAGGAAACGTTAAAGTGCCCCGACTCATACATAACCACATGCTTTTGTTTGTTAGATTACATGCATAGCTATATGCTCTTGTTTTTTAGATTACATGTATAACCATATGCTCTTGTTTGATAAATTATAAGAGTTGAAATGGTTTCTCATTGTTTCTTGTCAAATACAGCTGTCTTGTTATCCATTTTCTCAAAGACCGGTCAAAGTAGCCTAGTGGTAGAGCGTTCGCTTCGTGACTGGAAGGCCCGGGTTCGATTCTCGTTCGCGGCGTTCATACCTTTGACGTAAACATAGGTAGTTAATGTTCCTTCTCCAAGCGCTAGGCATTAGAAGTGAAAGTTACGGGTTTTTTGGATATTACCTTAAAACGTAGGTCCCGTGTCACGATAGCCTTTGCATGATAAAGAACCCTCACTGTTCAATAGCCCTTAGTGCCGAGTATAGGTCTTAATTTGAAGTCCCTCATCTGCATACGAAACGTCTAGCTCTGTGTAAGTAAAAAATTTTCGATAGGGACGTTAAACAATATACAATCAATCAATCCATTTTCTCAAAAGCAACCCTTTATTTTGCCTGTCTAGACTCATACACCTTTCAGATTTTCTTTTCATAAACATAGCTCTAAAGCGCAAAATCATACCAGTATATCTTAATGAGGAATCAAGAAAAATTGTACAGATTTTTATTTTATTTTTTAGTTTTATTTATTTATTATTTTTTTTGTAGATCGTTAACGATCTGTTTTTTGTTTTTTTTTCTGTTTTTTTTTTTGTCTTTACAGTTGGAAAGTGTGCAGAATTTAACACTGGACTACGAAGTATTCGCAGAGTCTTCTTCAGTGATTGTACAACTTTTAAACATCCATGTCCAATTTCATACAACTCGACAGAATCTTACCGATGTAATCTTTATTATTACAATTATTTAATTAAATCCATTATGCATCAAACTTATACATTGTTATTTAGTTCGTGAATAATCAAGATAGTTACCCATATGGGACAATACCTTTCGTTATCATGTTCATATGTACTGTATATATATTTGAGTTATACTTCATTTATGAACGCGTTAGATAAAACTTATCCTAATAAGTCTAGTTAATTTATTTCAGAGGATAGGGATACGATTTTGCTTTTAGCTGTCCTTATATATACGTTGGATATATTAAAATATTCTAATATATGTTTCAGATTCTGACTGCTTTAATATAATCAAATCGACAACAATGATAGCACCAATGAACACAACCGAAAATAGAAATGGTTCATCAACAACAGATATTCCAAAGCAGGAAAATCAAATGTAAGTGCATTTGCAATAATTAGAATGATTGTTTGTGAGTTATCTTACACTCATTATACGATACATTGATTTCATACTTTATAGTAGCTATAAGTCTAAGAAACAGCCGTGTAGAAACGAAACAGCTGGGAATTTTTAATTGCGATTTTTACGATATTTTGAACTGCATTTGAATATGTATTGCAATTTTCTTTTTCAAAATCTCATATTTTGTTTAACTTATTAGATCGAGCGGAAAAGAAGCCGAGGAAGATTCTGTCACTGGTATATTACTTGGTATAGGCATTGCAGTGGTATTTTTGCTTGTCATTTGTTATGTTGTTTGGAGATGTAAACGTAAGCAAAAAGGTTAGTTATTCTTCTTAGCACATTAGACCCAGTTTGTAGAGAATTTAGTCCATAAATTAGGGAGCTGAATTATTTGAAAAAAATACCACTATTGTATACTCTTACTTTACTGGAGAGGAAAAAACCCAATTACATGTACACAACATATTTTGTGAAACCTAGATATATTTGACACCTTAAAGATTCAGAATTTAGATACCTGTCACTTTTTGTCCCCCGCTTGAAAAGTGGGGGATATTAATTTAGGTCCGTCCGTCCGTCTTTCTGTCTGTCTGTAACGCTTTCGTTTCCACAAGATATCTCAAGAACCCTTTGAGCTTTTGCAATGAAATTTAGCATAGCAACTCCCTATGGACTAAAGAAGACGCCTATTGATCTTGAGGTCAAAAGGTCAAAGGTCAAGGTCATAAATTCGCAAATTCTGTCTGTTATAACACTTTCGTTTCCGCGCGATGTCTCAAGAACCCTTTGAGCTTTTGCAATGAAATTTTACATAACAACTACCTGTGGCTTAAGAAAGACCCCTATTGATTTTGAGGTCAAAAGGTCAAACTTCAAGGTTATAAATGTATACATTCTGTTTGTGTGTAACACTTTCGTTTTCGTGCGATATTTCAAGAGGATGTTGAGCTTTTGCAATGTAATTTATACCAAAAGTCCCTAGGACCTCTCTCACCCTCTCAAAGTGTCCCGCCCCGTTTGTTTTATTAGTATTGATTGTATTACATGTCGCTATTATTAGCCCAGGGGCATGATGGAGAGTTGTTACGTATAAAACAGGTTATCGGCGGACTTTATATTCTTATTACATCTATTAGAACTGTTTAACAAAGGTTAAATTAGACACCATGCCTTGTGTTAAATTTTGACAATATATCGAACGTGAATATATACATGTATGTGACTTAATGTTTGTATATAATTTTCGCCAAGATAACGCGACTCCGTGGTCTAGTGCATCGTCGCAAGCCACGGGTTTTGTGTCCATTCTATTCCCAGAATAGACTTAAAACCCGTGGATTGCGACGATGGGTCTATTGGTATGTCTCTCGCTTCACATGTGAGAGGGCCAGCGTTCGTATCCCGGGCGATCAAACTTCTTTTTTCGAAATGCTTTTTTTTCTACTAAATGATAGTATTCAGGTGAAATGAAAAAGTTATGAGGTCTGGCTTGTACAAACTCATACAATCATCATTACAGTGTGATAAATATTCCATATAAAAAGAATCTTCTACACACATAATAAAGAATAATCAATCAAACCTTTATATCCATATTGGCATATCTTATTTGCTTCAGTATACATTCAATAATTCTACAAATTCAGTCAAGGGGATCCAAACCCCCCACCTCACCACCATCCCCTACGCATGGTTTACCTTTTCCCTAAGCGGGGGACAAAAATTCACTGAATTAGCTTGTCTATTAATATTTCCTATGCATATTCACAAGAACGGGAGGTTCTTTTTCTGTATTGAGGTACTTTAAATTAAGTAAAATAGGTTCAATTCTGAATCATCCATATTTTCCGGCAAGATGGCAAGAGATTAACACCACCTCCTTTTTTACAGTCTTTTGATTTCCTTCCTGGAATCTAGCTATAGAGTCCGTGTAGTTTAACTACTGAAAAAATACATGCACATATGTGTGGCTAGTGAAGAACTCCCCGAGTGGTACGCGACACTGAGTTATTGAATCTTTCATGAGCATGCAGTCACGGTTAAGATCAGAAGCCGAAATAGAACATTAACATTAGTTGTTTATTTTTATGTTTCATTATTATTGATAACTAGACAACTCTTTTATAATTAACCAGATTTATCATGCAACTGAGATTAATAAACTCTGTTGGCAGGAGATAAAGGTGTATTGCTGCTCAAGTAAGGGATGTTATCGATTGAAAGATTGAAAAGTTAAAATCATTACGTTCATCATAGAGCTAGGATGTTAAATTAGGCAAGTAAGTAAGGGCCAGGTAGAGGCCTTTCTATGCAAATCAGCTAATGAAAATGCATAATTTGTGTAATTTTTACACAGATAATGTTAAAGCTTATTTTCTTATGACGTCATAATGTGCACTGACTAGGGCATGTTGTGGGTATAAAGTTTGTATAAGAAAACAACTTTTTCTGTGCAATAAGTTCAGCGCTTATGTGTTTTAATCAGTTCATTACAAAGAAACCTCTATACGTTACCTTAACTGACTTTCGAACTATGAACGTCTTTTTCAAGTAAAATATCCAAGTATGAACAGATGTGTTGAACTCTGTGGTATGTCAAACTCACTGGGAGATATCGTATCCAAATACGAATGGAAGTTACCATTTTTAGTTGACAATACGTCGTCGATATATATATATATATATATATACATGTATATATACGTTGAGTTGAAAGCCACATTAAGTGTTTTCTATAACATTTTGCACAAATTCTCCTTCATATGAATACAAATAATCAAATGAAATATATAAAGAAAAGGAACAGTATTCAATCGCAGAAGACCATAAAATAATACTAAATAGTACCAGAGCAAATGCCGACCTCTAAAACATCAGAGGTTAGGTCAGGTACCAAGGAAAAGTGAGTATTCAATGCCGACCGATCATACCTACCTTGTGCTCTTTTGAAGGATCGGGCAATAACGGAAAAATCCGTTGTTCATTCCAATGAGTAACTAATTGCACAATAATAAATATGACAAAATAGTCAGTCGGATCAGCATTTAACTCAATAATAAAATTGTCAATTTCTAGATATGGAGATAACGAACAGTATTCCAATTCAAAGTCCATAAAACAATATAAAACAGGAACAGAGCAAACACGGACCTCCAAAAAATCAACTTGGGATGGTCGATTCAATGACTTCGTCGGCAAATAAGATTTATCATTTATTTTGCAATTGTTTGAAAATGACCAAGAACAAAGTTAATACATTAACGAGGTCATTTTTATTGAAAGCTAAAGTAGTTGTCAATTATATCAAAAAGCTTGGAGTTTAATATATCGTGGGGAACTATTGTAAATTAGTTGAAAAGTTTTATGTTATAATGTTACAGTTGTAAATTTGGTATAAATCTATTTTAAATTTTCCAAACTTCCTTCAAATTTTCAAGTAACAACATTTAATCAAGACCGAATGAATCTGATATCCAAAAATGTTTTAGTACTTCATTGATAAATAAGAGAAATTAATTGTAAAAAAGAAAAATATGTTTATTTGGAAACTTAATGGTCTTCCTTTGGTGCTTGTACATTTTTTATTGTTTTTGTTAGAGATAAAAAAAAATTCTTTACTAAAAAATCTAATATCATTAATTTAAAAAAATAAAATTCCAAAAAAAAAGATGTTAAAGTGCCTCTTTCGCGTTCCTGGTTCTAAAGCGTATCCTCTCTTTTTGACATTTTTAATCATGGTAACAGTGCTGGTGTACAGAAACTGTGTTCTTTATTTATAGGTTTGAAATGAGAATCATAGAAAAAGGGCATCATATGTGAATCATATGAAGCAAATCATATGATTTACATATGATCCACATATGTAAATCATATGAAAATAACTACATATGATTTGCATATGAATGATTTAAGTGTGTTTCAAGCCATTTACATATGAGAATCATAAGAAAAGGACATTATATGTAAATCATATAAAACACTTAAGTGTGTTTCAAGCCATTTACATATGAGAATCATATGAAAGGGGCATCATATGTAAATCATATGAAACAGTTATGTGTGTTCTCTTTCAAAATTTTTTTTAACTTTTTGGTACACATTTAAAAATCAGATATTTCTGCTTTAGAGGAAAATTCATTACATTACAATGATCTATCTTCATTGGTTAAATATTTTAAAATATCTTATATGCTTACAAAACTTTTTTGATAAAATTATTTTCATCAAGAGAAATAACTTATTTTTCACAGTGTACATTCTAAACAAGAAAATATACAAACAAGTCAGTAGAATTTGTCGATACATGTATTTAACATATTCTAAAATGAGTGCAAATTATAAGATTTCAGCAAAATGATTAAGTAGTTGAACATGTATACATGTACAAATAAATAACATAATTAGGCCATGTACTCGTAAAAAAAATACCATATGACATGAAAGTGTCTGCAGAAAAATTGAAATATCGGCAATAACATTTGTCATGTATTGTCTATTGTAAATTTATGAACAATCAAGTTATTTGATATTCTAGCATACAAATAAGAATGTGAAATCTTTACAGGTCAAATTCAGACAAGATTGTGTACATCCTCTACATTTCATTATTATTCCATATATTTCCTTGTTCTTTTTCCTTCTGTATCTTTTCAATATTTTCAGTTGTCCTCCCTCTGATCTGACCGTTTTGAAAATCTCTTTGAACTGTACCAAAAATGCAAATCCACCAGTTCTCCCCTTCCTGAACAATTTCTTTGTGGCACAGAATGGTCTCTACAAAAATTCCAAAAATAAAAATAAAAAAATTCTTAAATTACAAAATCAATTCTACAAGTTAGATTCAAGTAACTTATCATCAGCAAACAAATGTATTCCCAATTCACCGACACAGATATAATACGAGATAAAACTAATGTTATATATGTTATACTAGGTGGTTTGTGAAATCCTATGATGTAATTTGCAAGACACTGTTGGAAGATATGCTTCATAATAAAATTATAAAAAACTTTTTTTTTTATTTTGCCAATTGAATTGAATTTTGCAAGACAATTACACTATTTGAAGATATGCTTCATATTAAAATCATAAAAAGCATTTTTTTTCTCAATTAAATTTGGAATGTTCAAATAGTATTATTGCCAAAAATTAAGAAGATTCTGACACAAATATATTACTTTTGGACAAAAAAAAAATTACAGACAAGTAGATAAGCAGAAAAACAGATTTTGTGATTCAAGGATATCCCAAACTTTGTTGGGAAAAATATAACAAAGTCTGTTAAACAGTGTGTAGTTACCTTAACTTTGAAACAAGCC